CCAAATTTAATTGTATTTATCACATTTCTTCTCTGAGGACCATTTGAGTTCCTCATATCTCCTCGTTTGGTTTACCAGTTTATACCAGTCTTCTATTGGAGGAGTATGTGATCTCCAGTATAGCAGATTAAGAGATTTGATGAAAGACTAAATAGTGTTTATATCTACAGATTGAAATATCTGTATAATGTAGTAACATAGTTTCTGGTGTGAATCAGAATTTAATATTTGTTATTCATTCCATCAGAGTTAGGATTATTTTCCAGAATGATTGACTATTTGGGAATGTCCATAAAATGTGTTTAAATCTGCCTTTATCTTGTTTACAACGCCAGCATGACTCTGAGTAATTAGGAACAAACCTTGTCGACTACTGTTTTCATTAGGTACCAACATGTTAGGAACTTCCCATTCACCTCCAGCAGTTGAACGGTATGGATAGCTTTAGTGGAGATAGGAAACATCTTTCGCCAACTCGCTTCTGATAAATTCACCTGGAATTCATTAGACAATTTAGCTACATAAGGAGGGTTCTGTTGGTTAGTATTTCTCGGCAATAAATTATATAAGAACGATAGAAAATTCAGTTTTCATGAATTGTTGTAGGCATTCATTTTCAAAGGCAGTCAATGTACACAAGCCTTCCACAAAACCCAGTAATGATAATATGAAGTGAGATAGTTGGGTATAAATAAACTGATCCATTGGCGTGGGTGTTCACCAATAACACATTGTAGACAGGGTGGAAATTTTAACTAGTCTAGAGAGGCTTTAATAAATATATAGAATAAGATTGTAAAAGAGGGAGAAAATATATTTACCCACATTAAATAAATGGTTATATGAGGTTGAATATAAAGAAGATATTGCAGAGGAAGGGATGAATTTCTCTCTGATTTCTCTCCAGATGGAGAGAGTAGGTTAAATAGTGGGGTGAGGGGATGTTAGTAGAGCGTGTAAAGATTGCCATGGTAACGTAGATACCGAGACTCTAATAAAGGACTGCTCCATGTATGTCCGTTGTTTCATTGTGGTCTTTTTGGACTGTGATGGACCGCCTGGCACCCGGACCGGGTACCTCCGCGATCGCTGCTTCCTAGTAATCCTTGAGTATAATAAGCACTGCACCAGACACCATAACTACCGTATACCCCACAAACCGCCGCAGGTTAGTTGTGGTCTTGCTGCCCTCCACCCACCCTAGACCCAAGACCAGGATCCAGTGGGTAGACCTCCTCTAGTCCAGACAGCAAAGCAGGTTAGCTCGTATAAAAGCTAGTGATTATAATCCCAGGGAGAATAAGGAGTATAGCAATCCCCAGAGTGTGAATATAGCTCCCAATCCCCCAAAAATGAGTATAGACTTGATGAAGGGGTGAGACGTTCTGTTTAATGGCAGCCACAACTGGCCTTATATGCAAGTCCCCATGCAAGGGCTTTCTGGTTACATATTCCAGGGGCATTCCCCACTGGACCTGAGAGTAGACTACAGTCAAAACATACACGCAATTACATTGGCTCTCAGGTCCAGAACACTCCCACACAAAACAAGATAATCTCTCCTCTGTGCCTGGGAGATAATTGAGTCAGGAACTGTACTAAACTCAATTATCTCCAGGCACAGAAAACATGCATTTTACAATACCCCAAAAGTACCCCCAAAATACATGGAAACCCCAACAAAGTCATATCCCTCGATAGCCCCGATCTGGGGGACCAACATATCCATAAATCAACCAGATCAGTTCAGGGGTTCAGGATTTTCATGGAAGTCATAATTTGACCACACATGAGGCTCCTGCCCAAAACAGTTCTAGAGAATCAGGGCTTACGTTCGGTCTAGTTCGTTAGTTTAAAAAAACGAACAAACTATGGAACATATTCAAGAGTTTTACCCTGGAGCTTGTTCATCTTGTTCGTGTGAACGTTTCCACCAAACAGTGCCCTAAGTTGTGTGGAAACGAACGCAGGTGATTCTGGAAGTCCAGCGTTATTCGCGGGAACAAGATAGCTGCCACCTCGTGGTCATTCATGCGAACATGGGCCATGCAGACGAACACTTAGAACACTGCAATGGGAAGTGTTACAAACTGTCAATTAGGCTTAACAAGCTCCCGGGTGGTCTTTGGTTCGTGCATCTGTTCGGTTCCCAAAATAAATATAAAATCTGACAAACAAGCCTGTTCGCATAGTTTTTTTTAAAGGGCCCATAGTCTTTTGGTAGGACTCTGGCAAGCAGGCCCCTCCAAGAACCCGTGACGCCAAGATCCTGTGATGAGGTTCCGTTCATCACATGGACCATATGTATAATCTATTGAGGTGAACTGATAGATAATAAATATCTTCTCCTAGATTTAGGCCTAGTCAAGAGATTGTAAAGCATTTGGTTTTTTTTACTGGTCCATATAAATTTAATTTAATTTAAGTGAAGATTTAAGAGTTGAGAAAAACCTTTCAGGAACATAAATCGTCAGGGTTTGCAATATATATAGGAGACGGGTAAAACATTAATGATATTAATTCTACTAAAGCCATCAGAATTGAGGGATGTTCCATCTTTTGAGGTTCTCCGAAATGCGTTGTGTAAGTGCTATATAGTTATCCGCCTTTAGCTGAAAGATTACTGAATATTTGATTATGGATTTCATCCATGTGAAGTGAAATGTTTTCTTTAATTGTGAAGCATGTGTCTCTGGAATATTTAAATTGAGAATTTTACCCTTTTCGAGATTAATCTTGGTGAGAGGTGGTACATAGGCGCATGGTCAGTTTATTGGCATGGACGGTTGGGTTCACTGTATAACACTATGTGTTAAGTTATATATATATGTATGTTAAGTTATGGTTATTTATGTTTAACGTTTTGGTTACAGAAAAAAAGAAATTATTAAATAAATGATGGATGTGTTAATGTCCTTGCCAATTAAGTTTGAGGGGTTGTGTTTAAGGATATGGAATGAGATGAACACGTTTTCAGGTCTCAACCTCCCCTGCTCTAAAGGTTACCTGGTATGTCATGCCCGATATGTATGTGTTATACAGTATTTGTCATATGTAATAATAAATGCTGTGGCCTGTTTCATCCATACTACGTTGTCTGTCATTATTTTGGAGGGGGAAATTTGGTTGGTTTATGTATTATGCTGCATCGCGATTCCCCACTAAGTACAGACACAAGGTTTCCCTACAGAACATTACCCAGAGCATAACACTGCACTGTACTATGTGTTCCGACACCTTTCTATCATGGCCAACATTACATATTTCATCAATTTCAGCTACAGTTGCTCCTCTGTGGGATCGGGCTAGCTTTCACTCCTCACATGACTCTGAAGCCAATTCACCAGTTGCCCTTCCTTGCAACACTTTTGGTAGGTACTAACCACTGCATAACGGGACAGCCCACAAGACTTGCCGTATTGGAGATGTTCTGACCCAGTCTAGCTATCACCATTTGGCCCTTGTCAAAGTCACTCAGATCTTTTCGCTTGCTTTTTTCCTGCTGCCAAAACATGAAATTCCAGAACTGACTGTTCATTTGCTGCCTAATATATCCCACCACTTGACAGGCGCCATTGTATTGATATAATCCATTTTATTATAAATACAAAAATAAAAAATAATAAAATCAATAAAGGACCAAGGGGAGACTCAGATGGTGAGACAGTTTAACTTTGAGCAACTCCAAAAATAAGGTAGCATAGGTTAAAATATAACTTTGTATATATATATATATATATATATATATAACATTTCATTATTGAATTAATCCATGTTAAGGGGTTTAATGTTATGGCTAATCAGTATATATTATGTATATGATAAGAAATGCATATTCATTAAGTGTGTGAAAGGTCATATGAAGTCTTTGTCTTAATTTAGTAAATTCAAATGAAATCACGGGAAGCACCCCCACTCTTTTTTTTTTTTTATCAAAATTTTTATTGCAAGTTCAAAAGCATTACATGTGAAATGTGTAATACAAAAATGTAAACATGTTACAACATGCATGGAAATACAAAATTCAATGGCAGGTGGAGTTAGATACGATACATTGAATCTTATAAAGGAATTTGCACGTAAGCCTTGTACATAGAGATATTTTGCCCTTTTTCTACTTTGCTTGGGAGACAGTTTATACAGTGATATCAAAGTCTTGTGTGCTGTCTAGAGTATTTTAGCTGAGCTATATCAATAACACATAAACAATATTTTACATGCGGTTACGGCTTTGTGTGCCTTGGGTTGGTTTCGATGCTATCCATTGCAATTGTTACACTAAGTTCGCTGCTTGGTATTCCGGTCTTGGGTAGTGTGGTATTTAATCTATTATTGGGTAACCTTGCTACATCTTTTACGTTGCGGTCATATAACCTCATGTGCAGTAAGGTGTAGTTAAGGTCGTGCAGTTTGCATATATTCGCACCATCTGGCCCAAGTGGCAGTGTATGAGGGGTAATTGTCTGAGAAAGAGTAGTATATTTCGTCTATGCTCCTTGTGGTCTCAACTTTCTGTATCCAGTCCCTAATTGATGGCGGATTGTTTTTTTTCCAAAACAGTGGAATCAGCTGGTTGGCAGCTGTAATTAGGTGCATTAGTAGTTGCACTTTTTTGGGGGCAGGTTGTGGGGAGGAAGTAGAAATATATAGGTGTCTGGAGTGAGTGCTCGCATAAAGTGGAATAATCCCCACTTCAAGGATATATGGAGTAAATTTTGATAGTTGAATATCTGACCTGGGTTCAGCATTCAATTTGACGTAATACGACCCAGAGGAAAAAATGAAATAAAATATATAGTGCTCACTGTATGTAATCCAAAATTAAAAGAAAGTAAAGTACCCTCACGGACTGTGATAAGCCTATTTTATTGGACTATTGTTTTATTACTTATTCTGTATTTTATCTGACTAATTTAGTCTTTTATTTTATCAAGTTTTAGGCGCATCCTTATATCTCTGTTTGTTCTTGCTACCCGGACAATGGCAGGAAGCCTGGAGATTCACTGAACAGGTTCTGCCGGGACATTCTGACACATTGTCTGTGCACAGTGCCTACAGAGCATTAACAGAGAAAGCATGAAGACAATGAGGATACCGATTGAAAAAGCCCCCATAGTGTGGGTGAAACGCGTCTCGGGACTGGAGCTAATTACTGGGACATTCTGACACATTGTCTGTGCACAGTGCCTACAGAGCATTAACAGAGAAAGCATGAAGACAATGAGGATACCGATTAAAAAAGCCCCCATAGTGTGGGTGAAACGCGTCTCGGGACTGGCGCTAATTACTGGGACATTCTGACACATTGTCTGTGCACAGTGCCTACAGAGCATTAACAGAGAAAGCATGAAGACAATGAGGATACCGATTGAAAAAGCCCCCATAGTGTGGGTGAAACGCGTCTCGGGACTGGAGCTAATTACTGGGACATTCTGACACATTGTCTGTGCACAGTGCCTACAGAGCATTAACAGAGAAAGCATGAAGACAATGAGGATACCGATTAAAAAAGCCCCCATAGTGTGGGTGAAACGCGTCTCGGGACTGGCGCTAATTACTGGGACATTCTGACACATTGTCTGTGCACAGTGCCTACAGAGCATTAACAGAGAAAGCATGAAGACAATGAGGATACCGATTGAAAAAGCCCCCATAGTGTGGGTGAAACGCGTCTCGGGACTGGAGCTAATTACTGGGACATTCTGACACATTGTCTGTGCACAGTGCCTACAGAGCATTAACAGAGAAAGCATGAAGACAATGAGGATACCGATTGAAAAAGCCCCCATAGTGTGGGTGAAACGCGTCTCGGGACTGGCGCTAATTACTGGGACATTCTGACACATTGTCTGTGCACAGTGCCTACAGAGCATTAACAGAGAATGGACGCTCTACTAAAGGTTCTTGCCATGAAGGGGTTGAATCATTTTGAAATTGAAGAAGTCATTATAAGTTGCAATTTCAGTTGTATTTGGGGAAAACTTCAAGCATTCATTGTGTTGAGCTATTTTAATTGCTGAAAGTCTTTCGATTTTGATAATAAATCAGATTTTTAATGGGGTTGAATAATGTTGTTACAATTGTAGGTTAAGGTTTGATGGTTAGTGGAGGTCTTTAACAGAACTCTTTAAAAGGGATTTCCGAACCTTTTCCACTGATGCTAGAATGCCCTATTGGAATTATTCCCCCACTACAAAAATGCTCAGAGAGTAAATTTCACTTCTTTTGATCCTGTGCCGGGCAATGCACCCCATTCTGATGGCACCCCATTCTGATGGTACAGGAGCAATTTAAGGCTTCTCATAGAGAAGTTTTTGATTTAGCCATTTTACGGACTCAAGGCACATGCGCAAGCTCTGAGCCAGCCAAGGGAAGAGGATAGGAAGGGAGAGGTGCAATGTTTTAAGCAGAGTGCACATCCAGACTCCTACCACCATGACTACTTTAAAAAGCAGAAGTGATCATGGTGGTTGGAGAACTCGTTAATGTTATCAATACAAATCTGTGTTTATAACATTAGAGTGCCCCTGATCCTATATAGATTACTGCCCACCACCCCCCTCATTAACTAAAATAATAAAGTTAAACTCCCTTTTAATCCAGCAGGGACCCAGTCTCACTTCTTTTGCTGAGATATTTTCAATGAAGAAGCATTGATGGCCCTACTGCGCATGTATGGAAATCATCGCACTGTTTCTCCTCACAGTCTTCAGAAGGAAGTGCCTTTAGCAGTTGTCAGATTGGTGGTCACTAGGTCAGGCATCTCAGGCACTAATACTCTACATTCAGCAACGACACACTAACAGTAGAAAGAGGCATTCAGCAAGATTAATGACTGCCAGGTAAAAAGTGGTGGTAAGACTAGAAGCCAGTCCATTGAAACCTTAGTAAAACGTTTTGTCAGTTTGCCACTAGGGACACCAGATGAGTCAAACAGCGTCTCTCACTGTCGGAACCCTCGTTTTCTGTGATTTTAAAGAAGTAGGTAATTATTTAATCCCACACATTTTAATTATATCTGTGTGGAAATTCTCAGTTCTTAAAGTATTTTTATGTGAATTCCAGTAAGTGGTAAAAGGTCTGAGGGTTTTGATTTTGTTTAGAATCCTAAGAAAGCAGAGTTTTTACTTTTTTACCTCTAACATTTACCCATTTTCATCCTGTATTTGGTATATCTGGATTTCCGAAGGTTGCCGTGCAACCTGACTCAGTAGAAACCCTTAATACTTCAGCATTATGGTCCAACAAAAGCACAGCAAATTGATATATTTCAGTTTAATTCATGTTCCCCAGGTTAAATCCAGGAGTGACAGACTAAATGAATACATAGAAGATATACGTACCTTGTGACCCGGGAAAATAAATAATAAATGCATTAGAACAGTCTCGTAAAGAATCCAGAGAACATAATAAGAAAATTGCATGTTTGCGTAGGTTTTTGGGAAAATGTTTTGGCACACAGAATTTATACTAAATCCAAAACAGATATTAAAATAAAAAACAGATGCATCTTAGAATGTTTTTCAATGGATGTATCTTCTATATTTGGATTTTCTAGCCGCCCTAGACACCTTTTACCCAAATAATGTTATATACGGACACTGATCTCTGGCGTTGGCCCAAACACTCTCTTGCCAACACAAGTTAATCAATGAATTCTGGCACCGGCTGTTCTGGTTATAGATTCATGTGTGATCTTTTGACGAATTCCTGGGAGTATTTATCAAGAGTAATACGAACCTGCATAAAACTGAGCAGAAAGAGAGGAAAAATAAACTCTTCCACCCAAACCTGACGGGGTTGTGGTGTTCCGTGAAGTTAATCATGAAGTTTAAACCTTGTTTTAGAGCTGTGATATGGGTCGGTCCTAACACTTCACAGTCAAACCTATTAAATACACATTGGCTGAGATTCAACGTGGATTAGGAAGGGACACACTTCTCCTGCGCAGGGGAATCGGCAGTGCTATGCGTTTATTTCATCCTAATTTTGCTGCCGTACAAAGTTATAATGAGATCTTTTCCCACTTTCAGAACTCGATCCCCAAGGCAGAGCCATAAAATATAATTATACGATTATTAAAAAGAGTCGTGTTTTGCTGTGATCTCCCTGTGTTTTCATATGACTGCATCTGTTTGCACAGGCGAAGCCTCTTTGGGGAAATGCAAAGCACACAGCACGGCATCACACGGGTCAAACAGGGACTTCATCTCTGTGCAGACAAACAGCAGATCTGGCCTTGCTCGTGTTTACCAAGATCATCAATCACTCTCATTTTATCATATTTACGTTGAGGTATTACCTTATATACGAGGCCGGAACATTTTGTTTCATATAAAAACATAACGGAGGTTGAAAAAAAAAAGACTCTCATCCATTGGGTTTAAAGGTTTTTCTTGTCGGAGCAGCTGTTGACGGTTTTCTAATGTAAGATCTTTTCGTTTGATGAGGTTTTCCCATTCCTTATCTGTCTTCCTGTAGTGTTTCAGGGTCTTATTGCACACATAAACAGTATTCCCCTGGACAAAAATAAACAATTATGATAAAAAATTATTGTATTCAAATGTGTGGGACCTCAATTTATAAATTTAATGCGTTCTCCGGGACGTTTTTTATTGCAAAAAATTTGTAAACGGAAAGGCAGTGTCCCATAGAAATGCATTGAAAACCAATTAATCCATTCTGGAGGTCAGAAAAAAGTCATGGCATGGAAACCAATCCACAATGCAGAATACAAAGTAAAAGGCATGCAAATGACGAAGCTCAACTCCCTAACTTTCCACAGCTTGAGAAATGCACCAAAAAGTCCCAAAATAACTGCAAACATATTCCAGAATGGCTCCAAACCTCCATGCAAAAGCCACTCCAACACCTCCACAATGCATCCTGGGGAAACTTGGTTTGTATTGCGAAAAAATTTTTGTAAAATGAGGCATTATTTTCAATGGATTTTAATTGTAAACCGAAAATGATGTTAATCGAGGCGTTTATAAACCAAGGTCCCACTGTATTTAGAATGTGATTTATTTTGAAAACAGTTAGCTGTGTGTGGCGAAAGTGACCTCGCCACTGGTTTTTGGAGGGGCCTGTTTGCCAGCCTCCTGCCCTGCGACTATGGCCCTGGGATGTATTGCTCTTTTAGGAACTGATTTGGGCATAATGGATTTTTAGAATGCTGTTTCTGGCCCTTTAATTCCCAGAGAAAGGATTTGTAGTTTTAAACTGGCACTTCGGATGCAGTCGAAGTGCCGAAGCTGCCGAAGTGGCTGCCATTCGAAAACCGAACACGTGGCGGCGGCCATTTTAACTCATTCGAACGCGGTCAGTGGTGTGTGCAGCCAAATCTATGGAACTGTTTTCGGCTACCCAATTGCACGAACACCGCTGACCCGTACCTTCTACTCCACTTCGACACTGCGGCTGAAGATTCGAACGCTCGTTCGAATGGGACTTAGTCATTTTCTCAGTGTAAAATAGACCGACCGCACAGCCCAAATCCATGGAACTGTTTTGGGCATGAAAATGTGCTTGCAGTCGGTCATAAAGGGACCTCCACCTAACTTTTTAACCTCTGGACGGATTCATGTGATTTTTACATATGTTGCTCCCCAAGTTATGCTGATCACAGAAATATAAGTTTTAATCGTATGTGATGTAAAATCAGGGAGTTATAAAAATGTATAAAAAGTATGATTTTTCAGCTTGGAGATAATTGAGTAGATACAGTAAGAAACTCAATTATCTCCCAAGCAGAGGGGAGGGAATTTGTGGGTTGTAACCGTTGTATAATTGGTCAATGTCTAATTGTCTGTGGGTGTCTCCCTTGCATGGGAGCACTGCATAAAAGGAGAGTGTCTGATTAGATTGAGGGTGAAGTAGATCTCTAGCTTTTAGAGTCCTGTCTCTTATTGGGGGAATTGCTATATCACCACAAGAGATTGCTATGAGCTTCTCTAGTGGATAATCACTACTAAGCTCTTTTAAGAGCTTGTAACTGCTTCACTCTCTTGGAGGAGAGGTTCACCCACTGGAGCCTGGAGCCTTGTCGTAGTTCCAGGGTGGGTAGGAGACGGCGAGACCCCAACCAAGCTGCGGCGGTTCGTGGGGTCTGCGGTGGTTGTGGTGACTGGCGGAGCGCTTGGAGCCCTCAGAAAACGCTAGGAGCATCCTTCAACGGAGGTACACAGGTGATCCGTTACATTGTGGTCAACTGAAAACCAATACTAAGTTATGGCAGACACTGGCTTATCTGATAATAAAGGTGAACTGGCAAGAGACGTTGGGGGGCAATTGTTCTAGAACCACCACCACATGTGGGTTCTAGCTGTACCACCCCTCACCCTTAGTTTTTGTTGAGAAAATAGATTAATTCAAGTTTATTGTCATTGTTAGGACTACTGATAAGTGTGTTAAAAAATAAAACGTGTTTGTCATTGTTATATCTGCAGTTCCCAATTCTCACGTTTACTGATAGCTGGGAATGCAGCTGGTTTTGAACTGTGTGTGGCATCTCATGGGGTTAAGTGCAGGGGCGGATTTGGGGCTACACAGGCAAATTTTCCACCCGACCCACAAAAAAAAGCATCTTCTGTTGTGTGCCTCTTAGCCCCACTCTTGAATTTCTGCCCCCCCCCTCTTAGTGTATGTTATTCCTGATTTTTTTCCCTTGCATTCTTCTTACACCCCCAGCCTCTCTGTGTGCCTCTTACTACCCCATCCCCTTTGTGTGCATTCTTTCCACTTCCAAAGCACCTCTGTGTGTCTCTTTCCCCAGCACCTGTATGTCTCTCCATTGCAGCCCCTTTATGTATCTCTTTCTCCCCCTTCCCAGCACCTGTGTGTTTCT